CTCGGATTTTAATTTCTCGGGAAAATTGCAAAAAAATTTACAGGAGAGAGAGAGAGAGTTGCAGTGTGGTAGTGTGAAGTGGAGGGAATCGTGTGTGGCGTGACACAGTTAAAACTAACCATCAGGTGGGTCCCGCAATATTAAAAAGATCTTATGGTTTGACATAAATGCCCTTTACTGGCCCTGTAATTTACCCGTTCGTTTGTTTGTTGTTGTTTCGCGTGAATCATTTATAAATGCGAGTATCCTTCACGAGAGATGTGACCATATTTTATTTGCATACCAATTTATCAATCTTTTTTTTGGACTATGTGTATTATTTGGTAGTAGTTGTTACACATTTTTATTCATTTATACAAGACTACGGAGAGATGTTGTGTTAAAAATATGATCTATATGGGTATCGGTAGGACCATTTTCTTTTATAAAAAATTGAATGGGTTTTTAAAAATAATATATTTGAATTCGTTTTTTAAAAGCATAACGAGAGGATGATCAAAAGAAGAAAAGATTTTTGACTGAGCAAAAGGAAAAAAGGAAAAACAAAAGGCAATAACAACAATAAAGGGATTTTAAGGGTCCCTATAGAAAAAGTAAATTTGTCAAATCTCCTACCTCCAATGAAAAGAGTGTTTTCCATTCAAATTAAATTTTGAAGGAAGAAAAAGTGAAATGAACCTTTTGGTTTCATATCAAAAACTCATAATTGGACTGAGCTAATTATGAAATTACTCTATCATATGGTTGATACTAGACGGTCCTAAAGGTTCTACGATGGATTTAATCAAGTATATAGTGTTAGAATATCTCATATTAGAAATGGAGTTGATTCAACAGTAGTATATAAAAGATACATATTTATTCATCTGTTATTAAATTACATTTTGAGTGATTGTAAAAGTTTGCATGGTATTAGATTCAAGTTAATCGAGATGGGTGTAACCTAACAAAAATAAAATGTAATTCGGTTCAGAATAAACGAGTCAAAAAGCCATTATTTCGAAGGAATGTGTAAAGAGTATTCTATATTGAAAGTAAAGATAACTCAACATTAATTTACAAAAGATATGAACATTTTTTACTCACTCCCAATCAGAACACATGCATATATACTTGCTCACATGCATAGACAATAGAACAGTCAATCATCGTTAAAATTGGTTTGAGTGATTGTTTGGTTCGGACTGCTATAATCCATGGGATCAATTTATCTTTTGTAAGTCTTTGTACTCCAAAACAACTCAGTGGGTTTGAACATCTAATATATCACTTCGTACATGAACCTAACTTCTTCATGCTGATAATAATATATCAAATGAGGTTTTTAATGTCATTTCGGTACTTCATATACCGTGGCATTGATGTATAAAGAGGGAAAATTATTCAAAGCACTCAAACTATATTGTGTACTTGTGTAGGGGCCTTTCTTCCTCAGCGAGTCTTACTGAGGTGTGAGTTCTCTTTCAGTCCAAAAAGCGTTTCCTTTCTATATATAAAAAAAGTCACT